AATTACAGAACGACTTTAGCAGGGGAGGATCTTACCGAAGTGACACATGCCGATACCGGGATTCCTCTATCCAATCATCTCGATCGGTTTGATGTCAACTTCTAAGGAAAAAAAGGAAAAAATCACGGCGCCCGGACGTAATGCGGCGTGCAAGTCACCACAGGGGGCCTTATTCTTATTGGCCGAGAGCGGAGGACGCCCACAAGGTGCGCGGTTATATAGTACTCTAGTGCTTTGCAGAGTTCATTCATAGTTCCACTCCAGTCTAGTCATTCATTAATACGGCGGGAGTGTCCTTACGGAGTGTGCGCTGATCGTAGCTCTTGATCACTGGAGTGACCCGCTTTGAGCTCGCCCGCGTGTGCGTGTCACACATGTGTGCTCGTCCTATGGCACGTGAGATCGAGGAGTACAAAGTAGTCGACAAGGTGAATTAACATCGAACACGCAGAATGTGGATAGGTAAGAATGACTCACGATCAGACTCGGTTTCAGACGTGCGTTCTAAGAAACAAAACCTGTCTCGTCAGAATCAGCATTCAACGGTATACTAAAAGTGGAAATTTAACACCGGAATTTTATTTGTGAAAATGTCATCGAACGCGATTAAATAGAGGCAGTTTTTTTTGTTCACTTTAATGGCGCAGGGCGCTTCTTTAATATACGTTCGTACTACATAAAAATCCTATAACGTGATATTGCCCTTAAAATTAATTAATTAGACTAATAAGATTTAATGAGAGACCATAATCTAACATTTATACGATACTTATGCGTCTGATAAAAATCATCTAATATAAATAACTTACTCGCAAACTCTGTCATAATTGATAGTTATATTTTTATAGTTTTATTTCTATGGTACCAATTGTTTATGTTGATAAGAAAAGTTAGAATCAATTAAGTAAAAACTTCTTCGTAATGTTCTGTACTTATTTAAATCATGGTATATTGCGCTTCTTTGCAATAAGCTGAGCTCGGAAGAAGTTATAAATCGCACCTTTTTCTCCATTAATAGCGGCACTTCGGGAATGGCATTTCTTAAAAAAAAGTCTCCGTTTTTAATGATGAAACCGGTGAATTTCACGGCTCATCTCGTATCAGGGGCTGGCGCAAATACACCTGCGGCAAATCGCTCACGCGGTGGTGCCTCGAAGAACGTTCGAAGCATGATAGTGTTATCCAGTAGAAATCGCGATCTTTCGCCGTTCCTTTGTTCCCGTGCTGTCGAAAGAAACGGCACTTCATCTGTCGTTTTTCTGCGACAAGCCGCGGAATGCTATGGTCGAGAAATCGGCCGGCAGCAACTACGCGAGTGATTTTGCACAAAACGGGGACCACTACCGTACTACACTAATTTAATGATTCTTCTCGTCGACCTACACACGTCGCTCGTAAGTGTATTTCACATAAGTCGATCTCACTTGCGTCATATTGGCCGATTGGTAACAGATAAAACCTGGTCAATAATAGAAATAAGTTGACAATTTCACAACGAATAAACTTGTGCGCGACTCACTTATCACTGTGAATCATCTTCCGGCGCTTGTTCCATCTTGACAGCTACCTGTCGACTATCGTCTTTATCGCGATGCGGGTTAATGCGAGTATGATTCCGAATGTTCGTCTTGACGTGGTATTCGACATATTTACATGAGCACGATACGAAATATACGACAAAGTACACGTATGCATAAATTTGAATCAACTTATTGATTGACTTTATCTTAATCTTATCACGCTGTGAACGGAAATTAAGTCGACATCGATATATGTATCTGTATACACAGGGAATGTATACAGATTAAATTAAGGGGTCCCCTGCGCAGATATTGCAATCATTTGTACGCTTATCTTCTTATCGGAATTTTTACATTATGAAGCAACGCTAATGTTAATACGCAGGAAATATATCTTAATTATTGTAGTCGGTCTGTATTTCGAATTGCGTTAATTTGCATCTATTTCTATATATTATTGTTCACGTGATGCAAATTTGAAAACACATATATGTATATCGTAAATAGCTTTCGGGGAGATAAGAGAGTGAATCATCTCTAATGAGAAAATTTATATGAAAACGACAGAGTGGGACAGTGTTTCTCGCAATGTTCACTCCTACTTTACTTTTCTTACGCGCGTTATTTGCGCACATAACTTTATAATAATCTGATGCCGACCAATCGAAACGAACAGTCAGCAACGAGACCAAACCAATCCAATCGAGTAGTGCTAAAGATGGCGGGACAGTAAATTAAAAAAAAGGGGAAACTTTAAGTGAATCGAGCCAAGGACCGAATAGCGCAAGAGTAGAAGGCATTTCCGTTCTGCTAATTGGCAAAAACTCGACGTTACTATCGATAGTGGGATTAAACTCGGAAACGTACGTTGTGTCGACAGATCAACCAATTTTAAGAGTTAGCCGAGCGTAGCGTGAATTTTCCATTTTCTCCTTATTAAAGAGAGCTAGAGAAAGAGAATGAGAGAGAAAAAGTGAGATAGCGCCGTTTGCTCAGAAAAAAAGTCTGCAGCTTTGATTGGTGTACGCATTACATAACAGTGGGAGGGAGGAGAAACGTTAAAAGTCTGCAATCTATACAGAAACTGAAGAACTCGGGGAAGCCCACTGCGATTTTTCCGTGACGCCATCGATTCTTATCGGAAAACTTTAGAACGTCAATGCAACCGTGTTCGATGCGGTTTCGATAAAGCGCGAATGTACATACGTAAACGGGTATTTTAGATATGTATGTAAATGCGCGATAAAGATGCATAACAAGATATGGCGTTTATACACATGACGAACAAATTAGCCTAACAAAGTGAAAATTCAAGTTAGTAGAATGTGAATATATGACGAAAAGTTGTTGCAAACTCGTAAACACTTCAACAATTGTGAATAATTTCTTACGTTTCATCCTTGCATATATACTTCTCCAGAGTATGACGCCTTGCATCTTCAAATATAAATTATACGTACACGCATGCTAATTTATTCCGTGACGTTTCTCATTCTGCGTACAAAATGATCGTCCTACGTGATTATCGTCTTCGAAAATGTTATAATGTTAAAAAATAGACCGGTAAAAATACACCTATAATTCTCGCTCGCTTAGATATCACAACGCTACTTGACTTTAACGATTTTGACGCGCGTTTCGAAGTCCTCGCTTTTCGCGTGCAGACCTCTTTTCGCCGTGGGACGGATTACCGGTCAATTAACGACGTGACACTATAATTGGCGCGGTAATTCGATCCTCTTATGGTCCAATCCTCCGGGGAAGCTCGTGCGTTTCTGGGCTCCGAGTTAAGCGACCGCGCGCACATCGTTAAATTAAAATCCCGAGGCGTTCACCGGCACCGACGTGGCCCGCAGCGGGCCATCCCAGCGCTGGCCGTCTAATTTGTAGCGCATAATATTCGAATAATTTGCACGCGTTAATGGAACCGGCCGTGGGTCCCTCATCGGCTACGACGCACGGAACTACCTTGCAAATATTTGCGTGCAATAAAAGTGATTCGACTCAATAGGTGTCAGACGAAGTCACCGGAAATCGGAGCAAACAAACACGAAGACGGAAAGTTTCGGGCGTATTTTCAAAATAATTTCATTACAATGATAGAATGTTGGTTTAAACACCTAGCTCAATGTGTAATTATTCTTATTCGATCAATCCAAGGATCAATCTGATATTATCCAAGAATCTTCTTTCGGCACCTGCTAGTGTTATTTACGAATATGCAGCTTTTAGAATTAAATCAATGCGATCGATCTAATCGCAAATATGTCTTATCGATGACGTATCACGATATCAGCGATTCTTTGAGTCTCCGCTCTTTCCAACAAAGTATCGCACACGTTTCGCGTTATCTTCAGATTATTTACAAACTTTTATAAAATAGTGTAGATTGATTCCATTTTTATGGCTGTTTAAAATGGTATCTTTATTTTGTCGGTGATAATCGTCAATGAGATACTCGATGTAATATTGATAATGTGATACGTCAAGCGGAATACGAAATAAGCGCTTGGATATATTTTAATTGAAGGTAATCTCTTAAAAATATCATGTACCAAGAAATAGGGACGTAATGTTAAATATAAACACCAACTAACAGACAGACTGCATATTAAGCATTTTAGCAGACGTACGTAGCGAGCTTAGTCATCAACGTGCGAAGAATATACATCTTCCTCGTGAACACTGATTTACGAGCCACGTGCCCGACACAGAAACTTACTTTCCTGGTTTCGCGATTAGTTTCCGCATATATTGTTGCGGTTATTTCCCTAAATAACTACGTCTCCGTGTCTGATAAACTTTACAATACCCTAGGCAGATTAGAAACAATAGCGTTTAAAGCGAAGATCATTTTGCTGTCTCAAAAGTTTTATGCATATTGGTTTTACCGCCATGAATTTCTAGGTAATTCACATACAACTATTTAATCACTTTGACATTTCAATTGTTAACTTATCTTTTATCTACATGACCAATGGTGACCAACATATTCCACTGAATCCTATTATTCTTTCCTCGTTCTATTTTCAACACGTATGATATACGTAATAATTATTAGTATCCTGTTCAATTGGAATTAACACTTTTTTTTTCATAATTCCTTGAAGGAGCAACCATTAGATTATATCATACAATTTGTATTAATCGCACGTCGCCATCTAACACAAATACTTATTATATTTTCGTGCGAATCCGCAAAGCGATCAGTGCGTTTAACGACATTTCGTTCGATTAATGAAATCGACGTCGCCCGGGGGTCCTACGTACAAGTCCGCCGTGCGTCTCCCCACGCGGAGATCGCGCAGCGAGGGTGGCGTGCGCGCAGGTGGGAGGACAGGGAGGCACGTACTGGCAGGCTGAGGATCACGGTGGGGCTACGGAAGGGGGCTGGAGGAAGCAGGAGGGATGGAGGTGGGACCGAATGCCGGTGAGTGAGCGAGAGTGCGAGAGCGAGAGGACGAGGTGAATAGTGAGTCCGTGAGCTCGAGTGAGTAACTGGGAGTCGCAACTGGGGGATCCACTCAGTCACCACGAGATCGGCAAGCCGAATGGTCAACCGTGCCGGTGGTTCTTCTGAAAAGTCTACGACGAGTTGAAGGGGGCTCCGACTGGGGCCCTGGACCAGGCGCAGATTGGGTCCTCGAATGTCAACGGGCGCGATCGTCCGCGGTTACCTCTGTTCGATCGCGGCGCAGGTGGACGGACGGGCGCGTCGCGTCGCGTCAATTTCCCGACGGAGAACAAGCTGACCGATTGTCAAAATTATCTCGCGGGAACACTGACGATGTGGAGAGTTCTGGTGCGCCGTTATGTCACTTTGACGTCCACCTGACGCACAGTAACGATACCGGTGTAGAAATACGTTGCTCCCGCGGTCTGTGGGTCCCCGGCGTCGCGGTTTCGGTATCCCGGGGATTACAATATCCTCGCGTGACAGTTCGCCCCGGCGGCGGGACGCGACGGTGGACGATAAACGGACGACGACGCTGCTTTTTCTTTCGGAGCGACCAGTCGATTCGCGGAAAGATCGCGAGTGCGCAAGTGGATGCGAGCGGAAACTGTCATCCGGAGCAGCCGAGGACTCTCCTGCAGGAGGACGAGGAAGAAATGATCTTCGTGCTGCTGGTGGCCGGAGCGTTCGCCCTCGCCACACTAAGGCGGTGTGTGTACATTGCTGAATTCTATCCACTTTCTCTAATATGTATATGTTTATATATACATATATATATGTTTATATATGTATATATGTATATATATGTGTGTATGTGTGTATGTATGTATGCATATCCTGCTTTCGCATCGAGTCATCTCGCGGAGACGAGGTATTCAGTACGCAAACATTTGCTGCAACAGAAGAAAACGACTCGCGGATATTACACCACGTTTGGCGCGTATCGCTCCACTCGCGGTTTCCCGGCATACATATATTATAACGTTACTTCGCTCCTGGCATTGACGTCTCCGCGAGATCCCATTGCGCTTACCGGAGGATAAAAGTCGCGGTGCATTTCTGTCACGGCTAGTTCGCGGAACTAAACGAAAGAAAACGGTCGTTCGCATTCGCCTGATCGACGACAAGTTTTACTGAAACATGTATAATGATGCAATGACATGTGAAGAATTCGCGCAGCGTTTAAGATACCGTTTCTCTACATGGACTGTTCTTTGTCGTTGTCATCGATCGCGCTCAACGGGTCTTGCCCGGGAGACGGACGATTAGAAAAGAAAAAGATAATTGGATCGCGCTACACGGCAAGCGGATAAAACAGTTTAGCGTAAGGGCATGCCTATACTTAACGTTATTAGTGTATATTTATTTAAATTTATGACATTTATAGGTTCCTATTCACTACACATTTGCATGCTTGCCGATAGCTCTAAATAGGCATGTCTTTGCAGTTTTTCTTAAACAATTGTTTCTTTGCTCAGTGCGCTTTTTTGCTCTATTCGAACAGGATCATTTCTGTCGCGGAACATCCTGTAAAGAATTAGAAAAAGAACACAAGGCCGACTTCTTACATCGTAATCACACTCGAATGATAATCGTTAATTACGTAGTACGTTTCAATATTTTATTATCATAAAATATATTATTTTAAGTGTTGTAATCATGATACGAATAATCTTGCTTAGAAAGAAAGACTTTAAAAAGCAAGTTGAACTGCATTTATGTAATTATTATATTTAAAGGAGTCTATATCTACTGCAAATCTATATCTCAACTATAATTTCAAATTATAATCAATTTAATTAATCTAGTAAAGTCTATACTTCTCGGCAATTACATTTCCAAATTACAGTTTATTCGATTCTGCTTTTTCATAGTATTTCACAATATTAATAATAGTACGAGGTACTAAATTAGTAATACACACACACACACACACTATCAACTAAAATTTATTAAAAAATTTAATTTAGATATATAACATTATCTAATATACACATATATTATATCTTTTATCTATGTAATTTCTATAAGCAAGAGATTGTCAATATGACAAATAATTAACTTAAACTATTCTAGTCATAGTTTTGTTATATAATTAGTGTCAAATTTGATATTAATTGCCCGTAACAATACGGATTTTATTAAATCTTAAACCAAAATCTCTCTCTCTCTCCAAAATCAAGTGTAAAGACTTTTTTCAAAGTAAAACTTAGTCGCTATAACAGTTGCATGAGCTATTGTACTAATTTAATTCCAATCTCAGATAATAAATACATTTAAAATCTACTTTCTCGCAATGCAAATGATTACCACATAACATTAAAAGACTGATATCTAAAAGATTTGCGGTTTCGCTGTTTACATAAATAATTCAACATTCATGCAACCCACATTTTCATTCATGATCTTAATCCGGACATCTCTCGGAAAACTCTAAATAACATTCATACTTTCCTGTATTATTTATATGAGTAGTTTATGTATGATTAATACAAATTACTTTTTACAAATTTTTGTATTAACTGACTTCGTTTGCAACGTAAATGTTTTCGATTCTACACAGGTCTAAGACATTCTTGTTTAGCTAATCAATGACTAAGCGATAAACTGAATTAACGCCTGAGATTAGGTTGCTGGTGTTTATTTGGCTTCGGTCTCAGGGAATCAAAGTAGAGTCGATAGCTTCATTCTCACCTTCTAATTCTCTATCATTAGTAATTCATATACAGGGTGTACTAAAACCACCGGATATCCTTTGAATCGCAGATTCCTTAGAAAATTTCAAGAGGAAAATTCTAATAAAAAAAATGTCGAGGCTATGATAATTTTTAAATAATAAGCGATTTATATATTTCACAAATAACAGGTCTGAGATTTCGCACGCTCAGCGAGTGATAAAAGTGTTCCTATGTGTTTCGCGAGCGAGCGAGAACCAAAGTTACCGTTTAACGGGACAGAAAATATTTGGGAAGACGATGATCCGGTTATTTTGAAAACTTGAGGATAAAGAGAGGCAGGAGACTAGATTGAATCTAACTGAAAATTCCAAGTTCACTCAGAATATCGGAGATCGACTAAATCGAAGGATATCAGTCTGATCAAGATGCTCATCATAGTGAACCCCTCCCTTTTATTAATAAGACGTTACACAAAGTTAACAAAAGAAATGGTTAAAGATAACAAGAGGAACAATTAATTCGAGAATGAATCGTTAAGTCTGTTGTGAAAGTTGTCACTATGCTAAAAAGGGCGATATTCGTAGGAACACCTTTATCACTTGTCGTGTCGCCGTACCTGAGCGCGCGAAATCTCAGGCCTGTCATTTGTGAAATGTAATCGCTTATTATTTAAAAACTATTATAGCCTCGACATTTTTGTATTAGAATTTTTGTCTTGAAAGTTTCTAAAGAATTTATGATTAAAAGGATATCCGGTGGTTTTAGTACACCCTGTATACTCGCTGACGAATTTTGATAAATTATGTAATCAGTTATTTCGTCTACTTTTATTCTTAACGTATGATATTGACCGCAATGACTAATTTATTCAGTCACATCTATTTATTTCTATCCATTTTCTACGGATTAAAATTCTTTTAACCGCGATAACCATTGTTCCGCGTCACTGCCACTTTCAAACTTGTCTTATGCATTGCTATTTATTTAATCCATCATGCTTACCTACATTTTCAACTTGTTATAAAATTACTATTTGAATTAATTTAACATAAATTTACAAGTAGTTGATTATATTCTTCAATAATGAGTTAAAGTAGAATTTCTAAAACTCATCCACCGGACAGTAGACGCAAAATAAAATATGAATACAGTCTCTCCTTTCTACATCCTAAGCAAATGAAAATATATTTAAATATTGTAAGAAAACAATTGCAGAGAGTAGGGCTTAGAGACATTGATCTGAACCGTAAATAATAAAACAAATCCGCGATGTGTTATACCCTTACACGATAAAACTTCCCCTCAAAGCGTGATTCTAACTTTGGGATGACAAATTTGAATTCGTCACCGAGCCGCCTGTTCTCCACCTCCACGTTTTCCACCTCTCTGTGGAAGGTACGGCCGCCGATAGAGGCGTGCGTCGTGTTGATACGGGACACACACGGACTGTTTGCTCGGGTACCATCGCGGACCCTTTTTTTCATGTAGGCCCCGACTCGAGTCACAACACTAGTAAAGTTACAAAAGCCGAAGGCAAACAGATCCGGGGACGGGCCTTAACCGGTTTATTAAACACTCGTGTGCCCCGGAGGTGGTCCCCATCGTTGCTGAAAGTGGCGACGACGCGGTCAGCGGATGAGGACGACGACGGCGACGTCGATGCCGCCTGGCCCTCTTCTAGAGCTCAGGCGTGTATCGCGTCGTGCGTTTTCGCTCCGGTACCACCTCGCCAAGAGGACCAGGAGAGGAGTTCACTACTCTCGCACGTACGCAAGACGAAAGCGATCTCTCTTGGAGGTGGGAAAGAACGGACTGGAAGGAGTTAAACAACGCACTCGGGCAAACCTTTTCTTTTGTCAGGTTGAGCCGAGCCGCGGAGAACTGACTTTAGATTCTAGCAACCGCGTAATTTCCATTTTCGTCCCGTCATAGTCACTACTCTCTAAGAGTCAATCAGTGAATGATCACTGAGAACAGTGAATAGTCACTGATTTACAGTTATAAGTATACCACTGCAAGTTTTAGTAGTATATTTATAGCTGCAAATCAGTGACTATTCACTGTTTTCAGTGATACTTCACTGATTGACTTTTTTAGAGTGTGAGATATTAATTTCGCCGACGCAACGGTGCATTTCCCTCACTTATTTCTATCGCTAATCTATGCTTTCCATTTATCCTTGTTGTTCACCGAATATTGAAAACAGACAAACTGACGCTTGTGTCGACTTGTGTCACTAAATGGAAAGCACCGAAGAAGTCAAAATTCGTCGACGCAGTTTTCGATTGTCATTGAAACAGTTACCGGTTCTCTGAAATTTCAGCACGTAACGTCGACTCTTAATACAACAAAGTATCTTTTGCGGCACCCTATACAACACAAAGTTCTGACGAGATACATCGTGGAATTTTTGTACGTCCCTTAGTGTCACCGAGTGACTTACGTCCTACGACAGAAATAAAAGGAAAGTAAGGGCCCAAGAGCGACTTGGACGCGTACTGGGTTGTGGTTTTGGGTTCAGCAGGGTTCACTGGACATATTATGGGACAGACGAGCACTCCAGCGTGAAATGAAAATATTATGCCAACGCTCAGACTGCCGTACCACGCATGACATATCGAAGAATTACTATATGCATATAAAAGTCGAAGATTCATATTTCGTAACGGAATGATTCTGCTGCCGCGGATCGGTTTTTATGAAAAGATTACAACTGACTCCCAGTTATAATCAATGTCTGCTATTAAGATTCGATCGAAGATAAGGATCAGACAATAGAGTAATATTTCTCCCTATAACATTAGATGCTGACCTACCATTATGATTTATCGTCTTTCTTTGTTTGCCATTAAGTACAATTAAATGAGACGCTGATGTGTCGACTAAAATTTTCAAAGTTCTCGTCAACTATGTAATTCTAAATTTCTATTCCATTTTTGGAATTAAATTAAAATCAATTGATAATATTGTCACGATACCGCAATCTTTATATCTTTATCATCAATTTAAGTTCTCGCGTGTATGCACTTTTTT